TGGAGTGCTGGCCATCCTTCATAGTGGCCGCAGCTGCAGGCAGGGCCGCCCCACCAGCACAGCCCTGCCTCCTCGCTTAGGTTCTCACCGCTAAGCCTGGGTTTAGGGGAACCCCAGTCCCCTACGGAAACCCCAGGCTCCTCTGCTCCATCTTCCACAGTGTCTCTGGGTACTGAAAAACAGGTACCAGTACAGCTGTCGTGTTAGTCTGCAGGTTTATTGTGGAGTAGGTTTGCCGTAAGAGTACAGAAGAGAAAAAAGCTGATCAAATTCCATAGCACTGGCGTACACGTGTCTGTGACGCAGGCACGCTATAAACCGGCCAGGCAATGCACAACCAATAAATATTCCAAACACAAGTCACAGGCTTCAGGCATTTCCGCTAAATCACTGCATGGCAACATTTGTGTCGCCCCCGGCTCTCCCATTGCGGCAACGGTGGAATTTAGTGGATATTGCCAGAATATCAACCATCGCACCCGGCAGGTGAAACGCTAATCCCCACTGCCGAGCACCACAGGACCGTCCAGGCAGACACCAAGAACCCATGAGTGAGGACTAGGCATAAAGGCCAGACAATGCTGCAGCATGGCAGTGCGCTCAGAATCTGCACCATTTGCTCATACACTGAAAAAACACCATGAACTCCTTGTTAACAGGAAGCCTGTTTTTTTTTAAATCATGGGTTACCCAAGGTGTCACCAAAGTTAATCTTCTGATTTTTTTTTTTCATTTAAGATGCTCTGCTGTGGTTTACACATTGGAAGCAAACTGCCATGATAGATTTTGCCAGAAGCCCAAACAGGCCTCACTTTACATTTCAGTGTTTGTTTACTGCCAAAACTGGCCTTTATTTCTACTAGATACCCCATCACAGTAAAAAAAGGTTTGCCCCCCCCCCCCCCCGCCTACCATTTTGTTTGTTCACAGTCTAACATGTTTCCAGTCTTTTGCTGTGATCTGTGTCAACAAAGTGCTTTATCATGCAATTCTTGACTACAGAATGAAGACAAACACAGAGCCTGACATACCTGTACACAAATAATTAATCCTGCAGGTGTATTTGCTGGAAGAAATTAGCTTAATTCAACAAAATCGTCTCCAGGATCTGGGCTGCTTTAAAATCATACTGATTTCTGTGAAGCAGGTTAGAATTCCTGAGGTCAGCTGTGAGAATCTTTCACTTTGAGAAAAGTTTTGAGTGAGCTGCAGAAAGACTAGTAACAGCTTTCTTTTGCCTCTCAAACACATCTTCCTAAGGTCCTTCAGCAAGTAGGTCGGAAGACCTTTTATCTTCCCTCAAAAAAGGAAAGCATGCCTTGCGACATTTTAAGAAGTCTTCTTTATACTAATAGCTTAAAGAACTAAAAAATGCAACAAGCAAAAGTAGCAATTGTCAAGTTATTGATGATTTCTATTACATTTAGACGTTTCTGCAGATGTTACTCATTTAAAAGATGTCAGTATTTTGAATAAAAGCTCATCCTTAAGTTTTTGGGCATTGGGTATCATAACTAGTCAAGCACCAGAGAGTAAGATTTGCAGAATAGTTAGATCAGGGAGAAAAATGAATGCCCACTAAGCATCATAAAGGAATAAAAAGGGCATATGCAAATTTTTAGCCATCTGCAGACAGAGATGGATTTTAAGTTCCATTTCAAGGAAAGCAGAAACTGATCCTTTCACCAAAGACCGTTCAACAATAAATGTGAAAAGTGACTAGTTTGAGAAGACACTAGTATTAGTCATTCCCATTTTAGACATTTTTCATCCACATTACATGGCACACAGCTAAAATTACCCAAATGTTAACAGAAGCAGCAGGGTTACTACAGAGAAGGTTTAGTTAAAAATACACATTTTATTTCAATGTGCCAATAAAAAAGTCCCACATTTTCATATCACAGGAAGTTAATTCATACAATAAAAAGAGACCTGTGCTAGTCTATTGGTGTGACTAACTCAGAAGACCCAGATCATGCCAAATTTTAGTTGATATACTCTTCTATCTACATTCTTACATTTACAAAGACACCACAAAATCCCTTATAATAATGTAAGCAAAATAACTTTCTTCCTAAAAGATTAACTTCATAACTTTAATCCATTCTTTCAGGACTCGCACTTCTTTGAGGGCTTCCTGATGGTGAACGACTGAAAGGAAAAGAATCCACAGTTAGTATTTCAGTAGTCATTTGGGATTCACAAATACAGGAAAAAGCAACAGGAGGACACCTAGACTACTTCAGCAGCCTTTAAGCATTGTTTTCTAATAAAACAACAAATCACTGTTAACAAAGCTAATGGGTTGATGATTTAATGTTAGAGATAATACATTTATTTTATGGTTTTTACTTTCACATTGTTGCATTTCTCTACTGTTATTTTTATAACACAATTTAAATGTGATCACTGTAAAGTCATCTAAAGGGTACTACTAATAGTGACGTTCATGGAAGCAGGCTACTTCTTCGCTGTTCTGATACAGCAGCTTGTCAAAACCTATTACGGTGATCGCTCAGCATTTATGAGCATTTCTTCAAGTCCCTTGTGATTGTTTCTGAGGTTAGACTACATACAGCCACGTTTTTAAATGAAGCAAAGCTAAGTGCGGAAGTTCTGTGAGTATGTAAAAAAAAGAAAGAAACAACTTGCAGGGCAGAAAGATCACCAAGGCAAGGGACACATCGTGGCAGTTCTACAGCTATTCTTCCTAGGATATATCCCCTCCCTACAAATCCTGAGCACTGAAGTCATAAAAATGAACTACTAAAGAATTCAAACTAGGGAAAAAAACGCTGCTGATTCTGTCACTACAAACATCGGCATACACACACACGGATAATTATTTACCAACTTATTGGGAAAAAGAACAGATTAAATAACAGGCTCGACCTTCCAATCCTGACCGCTGTGCCACTTTACTCCACTCTATCTCACCGCAGCTTTTAATGAGACTCAAAGCCAATTCCCACATTTATTCTGTGCTTTAAGCTCACCAGTAGAAAGTCTCTGTGCAGTAAAACTGTTAGTGAACTCAAATGAACACAGGAGCAAAGGCAAGATGTAACACTGCTACATAACCAGAATCCTGAGGAATGACTACCATGTATTTATTACCATACATAAAACCACAATCACAACGTTATTTCTGTCGAAGACATCTCAGCAAAATACCTTTCCAGTATTTTCCTACAAGCAGCAGTCAAACTCCTCAGCAGAGATCACTGCAGATACTAAAATGCCAGCTCTACAGAGTCTACGTTATTAGCAGGGAGATAAACATACCTTCTCTTTGGAGATGGTGATCGGGACTTTGACCGACTGTCAAAACAGAATATCATCAATGCAGCTTAAAGGTCAAATGGAACTTTTGTATTCAAAAAACATAAGCATCTCAGACAACAATGGAATTATTATGGGAATCTAGCCAGAAGCTCTTTAAAATGGCAAAGTTTTCAAAACAACTTTTACTCTGGCAGGGATTCTCAATTCATTTAGCGTGGAGATTAATTTTAAGCAACTGTCTTCAGTAGACAAAATAGGAAAACAAGGGGTAGTACTGAGGTGAAGCTTTGAGAAAAGAAACATCACCAGATTCCTGCTGTTTTATCAACAGCATTAATAAAGCTGAAGCCCTTTATCTGATGGATAGAAATATTTAACAGAACTGAGCACAAAGACACAAAAAAGTCAGTACTATGTTGGAAACTAGAGAAAGCTAATGAAAACAAAGAGATGGGTAAGGAACATACTCCAAATAGCTGCAGAGGGAATTTTATGATCTCAGTCATATCGCAAACAGATTAGCTGGGCACCCATGTTTGGGGGATTTTCTTCCTAAAGGACCAGGCTCTGTTCATCATGCAAACCCAATACCGAATTCTAGATACTACTGCAGGCTTTATCTCTGTATGCTTACCTCTTAGCCGGCGAGCCCGATTTTGATCTGCCATGAGACCTAGACCTACAAGAAGAGTTAAAAACACAGCTCAGCAGGGAAGCTGGTAGCATGCATGTTCCCACAGTTGAGACAGCAAGATTCACACTAAATGTGTAAGAACTGTCATATTGAACAGACAGAATCCTGCACATTTCCAGGCCTTTTCCTGCTAAGTTTCGGAAGAAAGCTTTTTAAATAGATGGTGCACGTGTTGTTCTGTACTTTGGTCCCCGGCTGATGACTGGCGTTTGCTGATGCAGGTGACAAGAATACATGAACAATCCAAATCCTGGCCAGTATTTTCACAAAGCCAGTAAAAAGCCATGCTCTAAACTTGCAAAAGTTTTATTAGGCTTGAGTGACATCTACCACTATAGTTGCAACTGGCTGCAGGCAGCACGCTCCTACAAATACCTTCTCCTCTGTGCTTCATCTTATGTAAGCACTTGCTCAAAATATTTTTTTAAATCTCTCTGAACTTAACCCTTGTGAAGATTGTCAAAAATCTCAGTCTGAGATAAGACTGCTACACCAGAAGAATACTAATAGTGCCTAAAATAACTGAAACTTTTAGGTTCCCAAAGGAAGTCTTCTACTTCCCACATCCAAGGCTTTCCACAACAGCTTCCAGATGTAGCTTTGACACTGTCAAACCAGCAAACATCATGTAGTACTTATGCAGTCTGTATTCCTTCTGACTCAAGAGCCCATCTCTGGGTGCTATGCATTCCTTCGATTCTTCTGTAAACAAACCATCTTCCAATTGCCTCATGTGGAAGTTTAACAGTGACCTCATTAGAGTTAAGCACCAATATTTTGCCACTTCCCTGTACTTGTACGTGTGTAATTTCCTCTGCCTCAGTGACTTAATCTCTACTTACAATGAAAGGTGTCACACAATAGTCTAGAAATGTCACTAAAAGCATCCTTTACACTGCAGAAAACCATCCTGGTACTGAAAAAAGAAAACAATAGTGGTAAAATCAAGATGTTTTTCTCTTTGAGAGTGTGTTGACTGTAGCTGTCTTCTGCTTATCACTGAAAGTGGACAGTGATAAGCCATGATTTAGTCACATTGGAACAAATGGTATTAAGATTCAACATATTTTAGCAACAGGTAGAGAAAGTATACCTAATCAGTGAAAGGCATTGCTCGACTGCCTCAGGGAATTTCCCTTCTCTTTTTACTAGCTTCTGGACTGTGTGTGTGAGTTTCTGCTCTTAACTAAGCCATCTTCTGGTCTTTGCCTCCTGTCATTGCTTGCTGTTCTACTCTCAGAAAACGCCACCACCACCTTTCAGCACCAAATCTCCCATCTTCAGATGCAGGCTTTTCCGCTTACGCCCTTCAGCTAAAGCTTCCCTTTGTTTTTTTTGTGTTTCTTCACGGTTGACTATTGTGTTATGGATTTCAAACCAGAACAATAGGCCCGGGAATGGGCTGCGGCAAGAGCAGTCCCATCTTCTTCAGAGTGGAACTTCAGTTTACTCTTGTTCTCCTAGGACAGCTTGCCAAGGACATCCAATCAACCTATGTCAGCCGTGCTGCCTGGACAAGACTGCATAAAGCACAAGCTGCATTCACTTACTATGGAAGGATTAAGCTACAATTTCAGAGAACAAATGACATCCCGTGTTTCTTTAAAATTTGATTGTCACTCTTATGGCACATTTGTTGGTACAAAATAATTCTGACAGATGTTTATCTCAAATTGAATTCAGCTCCTGCAGACTGACGCTCTGTTATTCAACAGAGCTGGAAACAGCTGTAACACTCATGGTACTAGCAAGCCCTTCACAACTTGCCTGGCTACATGCATTAATGCTTTTAACGCACTACCGGAAGGGCATCCTGGTTTCTCTGACAAATAATGGGAAGAATCCACAATCTCATCTGTGCTACACAAGGAAAAAGAAGAAAACTTTTCAGATTAATTCTAAATTCATTTGCTATGTTAGCTGTTAATGCAACCCAATCAAAACAGTACTAGTGATAACTATCAGGACCTGGATGTCAGTGATATGTAAAACAATAAAAAGAGAAAGAACAATTTTCTGCCTTGCTTTTTAAAACTACAGACCCCTAAGTTAGTGGAGCGAAAACACTTTTTTTTCTGAAAATGTTAACAGCTGTGAGAAAGCCTAAACAGACGTTTAAGCAACTTTTACTAAGTATCCACAGTCACGGAAGAGATCTTACCTGCTTCGGGGCCACGTAACAGATCTGGACCTAGATCTGGATCTTGATCTAGACCTGAAATAACAAATGAGGACAAATTAAAACAAAATCAAAGAAGTCAACTCAACCAGAAGTGATGACAATTACAGCACTACTCTAGATTAATGTCTACATGTTGAATTTAAAACCTACATGATCATTAGACGTTTTAGACATCAAAATTCATCAAGGGATATGCAGCTGTGTAAGGTCTCAAAACTAACCATATTACCACACCTGTAAATTCAACTAGGATTATCAGAAACTTTTCAAAGCATGCTACAGTCTGATTTCTAGAGGTCAACACCTTTCGAAGTCTGCCACCCAACACCTTTTTGAATCCCTTAACTAAAATGAAAAACAACAACAAAAACAAAGCACACAACCTATTAAAAACTACTAATAATTACCTTGATCTCTTCAAGGAACCCGATCGGGACCGGCGGGGAGACACAGACCTAGACCTACGAGGAGAAATGGACCGGGACCTACGATAGGAAGCTGACCGGGACCTGCAAAGAAGTCAATTGAAGAGTTGTACAAGTGTAGCTTTTTCAAAGCAAAAGAAGCAAATAGGAATAAAAGACAAACTTAAGCACACCTCCTACCACGACTCCGACTGCGTGACCGAGAATACCTTCTTCCTCGGGACCTTGAACGGGATCTAGACCGGGACCTGGTTTTAGGTTAGAGAAAACAGGTATCAGGAAACAGCTGCAGCAATCAGTGCATGTGAGGCCCTGCTGAAGTCAAAACTGATTTCAGACAACTAAAGAACTAGCATCTGTCAGTTGGAAAAATCTCTGGGCCTACTTGTCTTGAGCATTTTACTACCTAGAAAAATGTTAAAAGCTGAATTACATTGCAGAATTACATTAGAATAGAAAACACTGTAATGTGTATTTAAAATAAACCTTGCAAGTTTGCAGGTCGACCCTCTTTGGCCCAAGGTCTAGCAGATCTAGACGATCTAGAAGTATCTATAGCCGATCGCTGCATCTAGGTGTTCTCTTCAATCTAACGACGATCAAACTGACAGCCCAATGAGCCAGGGCGAGGCTTGATTGACGCAAGAAGATTTTTCTAGGTGGGAATGTGGTCAATCTGGTGTTCCTCTTTCTAAACCGGAGGGGGGCCCCAATTGAAAGCCAAATTTACTGTTACGGCGATCACCGTCTCAAATTTTCTGCCCTTAAAGAATAAGGTGAAGCTACGTGTAGATGGCTCGAGGGGATCTGGCCTCTTATGCTGATCACCTCAAGGTCTAGGAGGATCTTAAGTGTCGGATTTGCAAGGCGCCTCAGCATGAAATCTTAAGGCTCGTGACATTCTGAATCAAGGCGACTGACTCAAACGAAGAAACCTGAAAGGTTTTGACCAGGTTGATTATTAAGATATTAACATTTGATAGAAATAGCAACAAATTGTAATATACACCTATACATTTATTCTAGCGTTAAAATTTAAAGAAAACTGGCGTAACATTCTGTTCTTTGCTAACAAGAGCTACACAAAAGTGAACTGGCGAAGCAACCCAGCCACCCTGGCCCCACACGTACCTGCTCCTCCTTCGGCGACTATAGCGGTGACAATCATAAGCATAGTGGCCTTTCTCACCACACTCGTAGCATCTGTCATTAGGGTCAAAGGGGCGCCGCGCAGGAGGCCTGTCGTAACGGGAGCGACGAGGCATCCCCGTTGACACTTCCACTCTAACCCTGGAGCCACATATTATCCTGCAACACATGGTATGTATTAATCACAGGAATTCTTTTCTCTCCTGTGCTCGTTACACACAGAATGGGTATCGATGATCGGTGTGGGCCGCAGAGGTCAGAAACTGCAGCCCGAGCAGTCAAGGAGATTTTAGGCATGCACATACTTCCCATCGAGGCCGAGCACAGCGTCTTCAGCATCCCTCGGGTCTTCGAACTCCACGAAGGCAAACCCCGGCGGGTTCCTGGCGATCCACACGGTTCTCAGGGGCCCGTAGTAGCTGAAGGCTCTCTCCAGCTCGCCTTTGCCCGCGCCCGTGCCCAGGTTCCCCACGTACACCTTGGTCTCTGCCGGGAGCGAAGCCGGGATCAGCGCCGGAGCCGGAGCACAGGTGGGCTCACGCGGCGGGGGGCGGCGCCCCCCCCCCCCCCCCCCTCCCCCCCCGGGCCCGGCCAGCTTGTCGGCGCGGCCCGCTCCCACCTTCACCGCCAGCAGCGGCACACGCGCGGGCGCACCCCCTCCCCCACAGTCGCTGACGCAAAATGGCGGCGG